AGTAGCCTGGAAATTATGTATGGACATTCTTGGTTTGATTATACTACCTACTACGTTTCATGAAAATAGATACTTTTAATGCTATCAGGCCTATTTGTTTTAAAGTATACGCAATTCAAACAAACTTTACCTAAACTTTACAGCTTTAATGTGATTTATTATTGAATTCTAGTGCCTGACCCCACCTAACAGCAGTATGTTCTTTGGTCCATGTTGTAAACCACTCAGCAGATGAGAGAAAATTGCACTAATCTAAGTCAGAGAGTGCCGCTTCACTCTGGGCTTACCATCAAAAACCTGAAAACCTCTGAGCAAATGATGTCAAGGAGAACTGAGAAGTACCTTTAAAACTAGTAGTTTTAGGGGAGATGAAATTCAGTCACTTAATACGTTCAAAGGGAAAAGCATACAAAGAAATGCACCATGAGTCAGAGAGTACGTCCTCACCTGCTGTCCAAATGGATCTAACTATCTAGCCATCTTAAACAGACGAAGGCAGAAAGGAAGAAGGAGAGAGGGAGTCATGTGAGGTGAGTCTGAGGCACTATTTTTACTTTTAAAGTGTTGGAGAGAAATGATTTGTAGTGACATAACAGGGTTACTCTGTTGTTCTGTAAACACTTCAGGTATGGTTGCTCTCAGGCAAGAGGAGCATCAGCACAGGGACAGGCAAAGGAAACACACACTGAAGAAAACAGCTCCGGAGAAGCCATTTGTTATCAATGACTCGCCTCGCATGGGTTTTGAATATGGGTAGACACGCTCTCGACAAACTGCAGCTACTAACCAGTGCATGATGCTTTTTTCTGTTGAAAAGAGTGAGCAACATAATAGGATGAACAGCAGCTTTTGTAAAGGAAAGGAGTCTTACGGACTGAAGAGCTCCTCTGTGAGGAAACACTATAATGCATGTCTTGTGTAGCTCAACATTTCTATGCTATCTTCTGTTCTATAGTAACTAGACAGGGTCTAGTTTTCTAAAGGTGCTAAGAGCAGTACTGTGATGCCAGGTTTTAAATGAACACCTATGATGTACACTGGAGAATCTGTATGTATATATATATATATATATAGAGAGAGAGAGACAGAGAGTGAGAAAGAGAGAGAGAGAGAGAGAGAGATACCTTAATCATGTCAATGCCTCAGGCCTTAATTATGTTTATCTAATTAAAATAAATGATTGAACATTCCATTTGTCATTACCAAAACAATTATAACACTACAGAAACTTTATCAATTGGTTTAGTAGTGACGATTTTAGCTAATAGCTCATGTTGAGCAGAACTCAAAATGCCAGTACACGAGTAAAAAGCACAGCTTTGAACAGTTGTACACACATAAAGCTGTAATATTTTATTAAAAAACAAAAAGGTTTGTTTAATTGCAGAAAATGTGTTTCAGTTACAATTCTTAATATTCTTAATGTTGATTTTCAAACTTTGGGACTCTTTTGTTTGGGATTTACTTAAGCAATGAGCTTTAAAATAAGGCTCCGCCTACAGGTTAAAACTGTGTTTTTATAGTGAAATAAAACCGTGCGAGAGCAAGTTTTTGAATAAATCCATGATAAATCTAAATCTTTCAACATCACTTTAGGAGAAATCAAAAAGATTTAATCAGATAAACAGCACTCGATGCTTTCATCTTTGAGAGAGAGGAGAAAATCAAGCTGCTTCAGATCTGAAAACATCCACAAGTGTTTCTGTCCATCCTTCCACTGTGGGAAGACAACTCAGCGCTATGGGTCTGAAAGGATGTGTAGCTGTCAAGAAGCCTCACTGAGAAAAGGTAAAAGAAGGACATTTACACAAGAACATCACACTGGACATCTGAGATGTGGAGGAAGTTTTTATGGACTGATGAGTCTAAATGAGCAGTTGGGATTGCTAGAAACATTAAGAAAAGAAAATGCAAACATCTTCTAAGACCGGAGGTGTGGAAAAATATCCCTGCAGATTTCTTAAAAAAAAACTGAAAACAAGCCTCCTGAAAAGAGTGGAAGCTGTAATAAAACCCAGCCCAAAACCAACAGTAAAAACAATAATTATTTTCTGAGTTTGGCCCATTATTTGGGAGTGTGTATATGTAAATATATACATACACACACACACACACACACACACACACTATATATATATATATATATATATATATATATCATATATATATATATATATATATATATATACAACCCCATTCCAAAAATGTTGGGACTGTGAAAAATGTAAATAAAATGCAATGATGTGCAAATCATTTAAACCCTATATTTAATTGAAAACGCTTTAAAGACAACACAACACATCAAATGTTCAAAATGTTCCAAAAAAGTTGGGATGGGGCCAACAAAAACCTGGTAAAGTTGTGTAATGCTTAAAAAAACACCTGGTGGTTAATTGGCAAGAGTCAGTAACATAATTAGGTATAAAAATAGCATCCCAGAGAGGCTGAGTCTTTCAGAAGTTAAGATGAGGAGGGGTTCACCACTCTGTAAAAGACTGTGCGAGCAAATAGTGCAACAATTCAAGAACTGTTTCTCAATGTAAAATAGCAAAGAACTTTTGCTTTTTATCATCTGCTGTGCATAGTAACATTAAAAGATTCAGAGAATCTGGAGAAATCTCTGTATGTAAGGGACAAGGCCAAAAAGGCCCTCAGGCAGCACTGCATTAAAACCAGACATGATTCTGCAGAGGAAATCACTGCATGGGCTCAGAAAAACTTCTGAAAAACACTGTCTGTGAAAACAGTTTGTCCACAAATGCAAATTAAAACTCTAAAATACAAAGAAGAAACCATATATAAACAGGATCCAGAAATGCTGCCACCTTCTCTGGGCTTAAGCTCATTTAAAATAGGCTGAGAGGAAATGGAAAAGTGTCCTGTGGTCCGGCGAATCAATGTTTGAATTTCTTTTTGCAAATCATGGACACTGTGTCCTCTGGGCTAAAGACCGCTCAGCTTGTTATCAGTGCAGGAGAGCAGTTGGTCTCCTCAGTTCCCAAACGCTTAGAGTGTTGTTAAAAGAAGAGGTGATGAAACACAGTGGTAAACATGCCCCCGTCCCAACTTTTTTGGAATGTGTTGTTGGCATCAAATTCAAAATGGGCATATATTTTTCAAAAAGCAATCAAATTTCTCAGTTTCAACATTTGATTTGAGGTCTTTGTACTATTTTCAATTAAATATAGGGTTTTAATGATTTGCACGTCATTTAACTTTGTTTTTATTTACATTTTGCACAGCGTCCCAGCTTTTTTGGAAATGGGGTTGTATATATCGATAGATAGCTAGATAGATACAGATACAGATATAGATATATATATTACACATGATATAGCGGTTTTTACTAATGGTTCTGATGTCCAGATTTAAACCCTGTAGAGAATATTTGGTCTTACACTAAACAAAAACTATCCTGGCAATGTGTTTCAACTGTTTGAAGCCATCAATGCTGAGTGAAACAATACTGACTCTTCTTTCTGTAAAAGACTGTCTGCAAGTTTACCAACCAGACTTCAACATTTAAACAAACAAAGAGGAAAAGCTTCCCCATACTAACTTACTTTATATTTGTTTATTGATGTATTGTTAAGATTATTAAAAGCTTAATGTTTTGCCATTTTAGGCTTGTCCCAGTTATTTGTATGGGAGTGTAAAACACAGTTATCTGAGCATATTAAGCCTTAAATAATTAGTAAAAGGTGAGAATAATCTTGTTTTTGGAGAGACTTTTTTAACTCAGTTCAATAAACAAACATTAGCAAAAAAAACCTTCCTCACTTTACTATGCAATAATGTCTGCAATACTTCTGTGCCCAGAGAGAAGCCTCATGGTGGTGATTCAGGCTTTCACTTGCAGAATACTGAGTGAGTGAGGCCATGCCAGTAGGTGGCAATCCTACATCATCGTGCCCACTTTAGCAAAAACCACATGCACACAGACACACACACACACACACACACACAACACGCCACACACAAACAACTGACATTATTAAAAGTTATCTTACATTTATATAATTTCAGAGCTCGTGGTGGTGCTGGCTTACAGCGAGACTCAGCACACGCACATTTCACTCCTGTGGCGGTGGCAGCGCCGCGCATGCGCAGAGGCTGTCAGCTCTCTGAGACTGAAGCCGCTCAAACCCGGGAGCTTCAGCAACTGCAGCAGATGTGAAGGCAGGCTGGAGGAAAGCAGGGCTCCTTCCGTCTGGGATGTTTTTCCTTTTCCTTTTCGTACGCGGCTGCAGCGCGGTCAGCCATTCTTCATTTACTTTTGTGATTTAAAGAACAAACAAGCCCTGTTTAGGCTCCGCGTGCTGGAGCGGAGAGGCTGAATGGAAAGAGAGAGAGGAGAGAGAGAGAGGAGAGAGAGAGAGAGAGAGAGAGAGCTGCAGTTTGAATAAAACCACTGACTGACTGGAAATGAGTGAGTGACACTCCAGAGTTGGACGTCGTGCTCTTCGTACGGACTGAAGCAGCGAGGAAACGCGCGCAATGATCCGGAATATTTCAGCCTAATTAACGAATCTGAGCGAATCCTAAACCAGTTAAAGGCTGAGGAGGAGAGAGAGAGACTGCAGTTCAGACACGAGGTGAAGTGCGTCTCTGTCTGTGTGTGTGTGTGTGTGTGTGTGTGTGAGAGAGAGAGAGAGAGAGAGAGAGAGAGAGCTGGAAGCACTGCTGTGTAAAGTCAGCACACACACACGTTTGGGTTTGATCTGTGGATTGCTCTCTCAGACACAGGCTCTCTCGTCGTCTCTGATACACTGGGACCCTTTCTAATAACTGCTGGATTTTTTTTTCTACCCCCATCGGAATACAGCACCAGAGAGGCTGTTTGAACCCCAGTGCTCTCTCCTCCTTTTCCATCTCTCTCTCTCTCTCTCTCTCTCTCTCTCTCTCTCTCTCTCTCCCTTCATCTCTCTGGATGTGGATAGCACGCTGCGTTTCCTTTTCAGCAAGACGCTGACAGATTTATTCTCCGTTTATTCTTGGGATGGAAAAAGAAAGCGCCCGTCTGCTCTCACATCTCGGTAAATCGTGCATGGATTTTACATTAACTTGAGGCTGCAGTGGACCCTCCATATTATACACTGCCGTCGGTCGCTCGGCACATTTCAGAAAAAAAGAAAATGTGTAAGTAGCTGCCATCAGAATTTTAGATTAGCCTAGCCGTTAGCACTGATGTATTTTCTTAGTTTATTACGAGTTTCATTCAAAAGCATTCGCGGTGTCATTGAAAAGCATGCTTTTTAGCTCTTTGTTCTATCTATCTATCTATCTATCTATCTATCTATCTATCTATCTGTCTATCTGTGTGTCTGTCTGTTTGCCTGCCTACCTGTCTAACTATCTGCCTGTCTGTCTGTCTATCTGTCTATTTATGTATGCATCTGTTTGCCTATCTATCTATCTATCTGTCTATCTATCTGTCTATCTATCTGCTTATTTGTCTATTTATGTATGTACTTGTGTGCTTATCTATCTATCTATCTATCTATCTATCTATCTATCTGTCAGTCGGTGGCTGCAGGGCTGAGTGTTGGTAGGCATTGCTAGTGCGACAGTGTGCTGGTAGAATTTGGATCCCACCCCACCTCCCCCCTCTGTTGCTCCACTTAGCGTTACTTTTTGCTAGAATATGGCGTTGGGTCATTCATATTCCGTTCACATGTGGAGGCTTTTGCAAAGACGCAAGAGGGAAAGAGGCACCGTGTCTGTGGTCGCTTCGCCATCTACTCCTCACTGCTATCTAATAAAGCAGGTGATGTGAAAGGCATCCTGAGAGCAGCTTGTGTGGAGTTCGTTACTCACCGTGGGTCTCATCCCTGAACATGTTATCCCATCTACTACAGCTTTTTTTTTCTTTTGATGGTAATTCTGGGAAGCACAGCAGAGGGGGGCAGCTCACACAGGGCCGTGCTGCGCGTCTTTAATATTTAACTCTCTGAGGCCCCCAAAGCCCGGCCACAGTGGCCAGGCGGTGGTGTGAGTTATAAATGCTATTTGCATTCCTCACACATTGGCTGAGACTCTAGGTTGTACATTGGCATTGGAACATTACGTAATTTCAGCAGATGATTCATGGTGGTGGGTTGATGCTTCCCTAATACTGTTTGGGCATGAACACTTTGACAGGGGCTGTCTTTTCCTGAAAAGGTGCTGGAAAGCAGTGCGGCTTCTGCATGTTAGGCTAGCGTAGTAGCTGAGGCAGTTTTCCAGGGACATTTTAAGCCCAGCCGTGGACTAAATTTCACTGTTTTACGGAGATTCTGCGTCGAAAGTCCACGTGAGTCAAGAACACGGCTATGACGTCTCGATGCGTTGCCTGCTTGTAGGGATATCAAACGAAGAGAGTCAACTGAGATAATTGTCTTAATTGGTTCTGTTCTATCTATTCCAGCTCCTGAAGTGTTGCAGTAAATATAGATGTCATCGCCCTGAGTCTTGTAAGAAGGATCTGTTATTATCATGATCTGGAAGTGACAGTGCGTTCGCATACACTTAAACAAGTTAATACAGATGTTTGCAGCTTGTTTCAAATGACATGCCTTTAAAAGAGGGAAGTTTTATTTATCGCAGCTGGAAAACGTCAAATAGGGCTCATGTTTTTATTCATGTTATTACTGTATAGTTGTCATGTTGGCTCTTGAGATGAAGCCGAACGAGTCCACTTTATGGATGGATTTCATGGCTTCATGATGAAACAAGAATAAGCAAACAAACATATTAAATGTTACTACATACAGATGCAGAAATATATGAAAGATTAGATGCATTTTCTAGATCTCTGACAGAAATATTATCTCATATTATACACATACTGAAAACACTGCCAAACTCTTAATGGTTTTCATAGAAATTGCTTGACAGCTGCTCTATTTAGTTCAATGCATTCTGCACCATAATCATCTTATCCAGCTTAAATGAATGGAGCAAATATCCCAATTCCGATAAGGGAAAGTAAATCTGCTAAAAATTAAAAGCATAATCACATTTAGACAATACTGTTACCGACTCAGATCAGTTTTGTGCTTGGAACATTGCCACGGGGCTCGATGATTTAAATTACAGCCAGTATGATGTACTGTATAACAGATTGAAGTGTGGGGGTCTTCATTTACACTTTGGTTTCTGCCTGAGGGTCCTGTTTGTTGTGGTTTCTCACAAGACAAGACTGCACAATTAAAGGAATAGCAGTGAATCACTGGGTACACTGGTCACTGAATATAGGTAAATGTAACATGACCCGATGAACACATTATATTTTGTATTATACCATCATCGCTATTTTCTTAGCTACTTCATGAATGATGTCTAATGGATTACAGAATCACCAAACTTATGATTGAGTTCTGGTCATGCAGAATGTGTTGTGCCGATCGTCATTAGTCACAGTTTGATTAATACAGTCGCATCAGTCAAAACATTATCATCTTTCTTAGATCTGGAATTACACTGTGCACTTATTCTCTATTGACACTCTCTTTCAGAGACAACAGTTTTAGTCAATGTAGGGCTGTCAGTGTTCATTATATTAGTAACCGGGTAATATTTAGATTTTCTTTTTTTTTGGCCTGAATTGAACAAACTATGCATACGGGAAGCCTGTAAAAAAGACCAAATTAGAAAAATATTGCATTATATGGCACAAAAATGCATGTAAAGTGGTGCATCTATTAGATATGTGCATTCTGACTAATTTTGATATTCGAGCATCCGTAAGATTTCATGATTAGATATTCAAAGGGACAAATGATTTCAAATTAATGTGTGAAAATTGCTAAAATTTTTCAGAACATCATGTCCACTCCACAATCCATACAGTCCATTTAATGAATGTCACAAAAACCAAAACACTTACCTAAATAAATCCATTTTAACTGCAGCAGTTTGGCTCATTCACAGTGAAGTTATGTATTTTCAAAAGAGTCACATTACAGGGCAGCCGATCACAGAAAATGTCATTTAAATACACCAGTCTTAAAGTCACAAAACAAAAACAGCCTGTTTCATTCTGAGGGATAAAGAGGTTGGAAGATGGTCGTGTAAAAATGTGGGGGATAATATGAAAAAAAAAAAATATATGATATGGCCCCTATAATGTAAAGGGCATGACTAGCTAGAGGTATGAAAACACTGGTGTTGCACCAAAATTTAGCATCACTTTGACATTGTCAAAACATACAATTATTCAAAAATAGCTACAGAAAATTGTTAGATTTTCATATCAGATGAGTAACATAACAGTACCGTGTACTGTCTGTGTTCTGTTTTGTGTTTATTGCAAGTCTTTTGTATTTATTTACTGTACTGTATTGTCTTGCACTTGTGTTCCTGTATTGGTCCTGGAGGAATGTTGTTTCGTTTCACTGTGTACTTATAGCTGAAATGACAATAAAGCCTGAATTGACTTGACTTGACTTGAACAGATACTGCCTAAAGAGCTAATGAGCTCAAACTACAGCTAACCGGTTCAGCGCTGGGTGCTGACGAGTAGGGCTGAACATTTAATTATATAAAATATAATCGCGACTTTAATAAATGCAGTCCTCAAGTTGCAGGAGCTGCAATTTTAATTCTATCTGACATTATTCACAACTGTTTTAGCAAGTTTTAAATGGAGAAATTTAACCTAATAACTCAGCTGGGAGTCTGGCGCTCTACATCCAGTGTTCACACATCAAGTCCAAAAAAATTCTTAGCGACAAAAAGGCCTGAAGTTTACTTGAATGAAAATATTCAAAATAGTGATCAGAAAAATTACAATTAGCTATATTCCCCAAATCGTTCAGCCTTACTAATGAGGACTTGTCTCTTCAGTGGACAATAACCTACTTAAGGATTTGCTTATATTTTAACTGCTTATGGACCTAACACGGCCTTAACAGCACATCCTTGATAACAAGTCCACATTAAGGCATATTTGGCGCTTTGGAGTACCAAAATATAGTATCACTTACTTGCAAATACAATTTTACAGTCCTGTTAAAAATAAAATCATCATTTCGCTCAACTGTTGGTAAATATATGGTACATATTCTCAGTCTTCCCATGGTGGAACTCAATGGATTCACATGGGTACTCAAGTAACTCAAGTACTCAGTTAACCATTCAAAGTGCCAAATTTGAAATACTGAAAACACTGTTTGGGTGTTTGTTGTGTTTCGGCTTGGGAGGGTGAAGAAAATATACATACCAACAGTTTCAGTGAAACATGGCGGTTTTGCTCATACTTTGCTACTCAGAAACACCAGAGCCTGAACGTGAGTGTATTGCTAAGGACACATGATTAAGGATGTGTCTGAGAAGGCAGAGAGTTTATCACTTATTAGGCTAACTACTTTAACAGATGTTAATTATATATATTTCTCTGACAAATAACGTGGCCCATTGTGCAGTGAGGTAAAAATACCTTGTGTAGAAGACGACGAGTCCTCTTTAGCATCCAGTGACGCTCATCTGAAGAGGTAGCCTCCGTTACTCGTCCAATCCAAAAACCTACCGATTTCCCTCTGTTTTTGAATCATAAAATGTATTCCTCTGTGTGCTGCAATATTTTTGTGCTACACCAGTGTTTTCACCCAAAAAGGTTGTTTTTGTTGTTGTTGTTGTTCCTCTTCTGCAGTTAACCAGACATCTGTTCTTTCTTATGGACACCTGACAATTCTTATGGACACTTGAATATCGTCGCTGTCCAAAGAAAACCATGTATCTCCATTTTTTTTTTATTTTTAGTTTTCTACATCAATTCAACACACCAGCTGTCCTTTACATTGCGTACGAATTTCATGATGCATGGACCAATAGAAATGCTTTAAAATCACTTGGTTCAAAATCTCTTTACATTGACTTACATTGAAAGGTAAGAGTGTTTTTGCCTTCTCCTGTAAAGTTACTGTTTTGGAGATACTTGTTTTTCATTGGACAGCAACGATATCAAAAATAGTCAGAATCCACGTACATGTTTAAAATGCCTTATCGCCATGTAATATGCAAACAAATCAATGCTGCCAGTTCATCGAGAAGGTAC